CACAGGACACAAAGGGGTTCGGTTGGGAGTTGGGGTCGGTGGGTCAAACTGCCAAGGTTCGGGTGGTTTTTAGCAACGGCCAGCTCCAGCTTGAACAAACGGTTAAAAAAGAAGACCCAACAACCTGCAAGTCTTGATAATGTTTTTCATTTCCACAGCCCAAGCCGGGAAGTGGGTCCATTAATACAGATGGTGGTGATGCCAAAGTAACCGAATGAGATATGCAGCATCATGTCAGTCAAGACAGATAGATCGCGTGCTTGGCAGCAAATTTGCTCATCAAGCAAGTTTTTCTTCACGTCACATCAAGCAATCGAAGGTATGCAACAACTGAATACCTCATACCGACTCATACCTATTGGGAATGAAAGGGTTGCCGGTGCGAGCCAGGAGCTGTCGGACTCTTTGCGGCCAGCGCTGTGACGTCCGACGGGGGTGAAGGTGAGAATGCTGGCGATGGCGATGATGAGGGAGGCTTGTTTGGAGACTTTGGCGACTTTGACATGGGCGACTGGGGCGATGAGGATTAGAGCTCGGTCTGCGATGTGCAAGCTCAAGAAGGGCTTGAAGCAAAAGGGCGATGGTCCTTGCAGAGTCAAGCGGTAGAGTCTTTCTAAGAGGTTTGAGCTCTGAAGCTTTGATCAATTGCTTGTCTTGTCAGGCTCACGTGTTTTGCATCCATGCAAGTTACCCAAGATTCTTCACATATGTTTGTTACCTTCCATGCCCTGAGACATTTTAAAGTCCACGCAGATGTCTTCCACAGCGGTGTTGTGATGTTCCTGAGCGAACGCACACAGCGTTCGCTGGATTGACCTTTTGCGAACGGGTGCACGGCTGCGCTGGACTTGCCTCCGCCATGAAGCGCAGCCATGATGAGTCCATGGAGGAAGGGGTGGACAGGATGAGTCCATGAGAATGGGTTTCCAAGTCGTTTGCTTTGATATTGCAAGGCATGACTCGTTGTCTTGGTGGTCAGAGATCATGAAACTTTCCCAGAATTGGTTTAAGGGAACAAGTTTATTCCCCAGATAGCGAAGCTATGGTGTTCTTACTTCAAATAACAATGAGTTGCCTGTGCGCGCTTTCGAGACAGGTTGCTGGTGCTGGTGCTGGGTGCCGGTGCTGGTGCTGTGAGCTGGCTGTGCACGTGGTGGAGACAGGTTGC